AATAAAACTATTTAATTTTATCAAATTTTGAATATATTCCTTAATAAAGACACAAACATTTTAAACAATATTAAAAAATGTATGTTAGCTAATATGAACATAATGAAATCTTTATAAATACTTTAGCCTTTTTTTCACCTTCTTAGTTATGCATGCTAAAATAATCAACCATACAAACAATATGACATTAATTTCATTCAATTCATTTTCTTTAAAGGAAAATAAAAATATTTTATATGTCCAAAAAAGTTTTTGTTTTAAAAATAATAACGTACCATATCTATGAAAATAAATATATTTTTATAAGAAATATAAAGATAAATCTCAAAAATAATATCACATAAAAACTAAAGGTAGATAAAGTTATGTTTTTATACTTCAAATATTTTTGGATAAATACTTCAATTATGTTTTTATATTTTAAATATGTCTAAATAAATAACATAATAAAAATATTACATTTTCTATGTTTTAGTTTTTGTGTTTTTATTTAATTTATGATAATTAATATAACAATTTATAGACTTCTTTTAAATTTCACAAGTAGTCATTAGGTGAAATTTCGTAAATAGTCTTTAAGCGAAGTTTACCAAAATCTCTGAAATGGTCCTTATCTAAAATCGACATATCGCAGAAGGACCATTGGCGTGACAACTTTAATTTTTTTTCAGAATGGACCACTGGCATGACAACTTTTGTAAAAAGGGACCATTGATGCAAAAGGAAAAAAAAATACCAACCATTTTAGGCACATTTTTTAAACCATAAGCACCATTGTGAATTTTTTTCTATTTTTTATTTTATTTTAAATGATTTTTATAAAAAAGGAAAAAGAAAATAAGTTGGAAAAAGATAATTATTCCACTGTTTGGTAGAACTGAGAATTCACTAGAGAAATGTCTTTAAGAATCATTTCTCTTGTTTGATTGTATTAAGCAGAGAAATGGAAATGGAATTTTTTTACCTTGTTTCAAACAAGATTTTTTAAAAATATGCATCTTTTATATTTTAAAATTTTCATTTTAACATTAATTGTTACCAAGTAATTTATTTTCTAATAAATTATTATTATTTTATACACATCTTCTATTGGAAAACATATTTCTAATATAAACAAATGACTTACAAATAGATTTTAACGAAACCTGAAAATCATACTATTCAAAAAGAATGTCCAATATAGGATATGCAAAAAATAAAATTCAATATTCCTAACAACTGAAAAAACATAACTATATGTCTATGTCTAATATAGAATGTACAAAGAGTTAACTTCAATATTCGTAAAAACTAAAAAGTCATAACTTAAAATAGATTAAATCATGATATTGAACCATCATCAATCATTGTCATGTAACAAATCTTTTCTTCTTCCAGGTTTGAATCCGTTGTCTTGTTTGGTAAAACTGAGAATTCACTAAAGAAATGTCTCTGAGAATCATTTCTCTTGTTTGGTTGTATTAAGAAGAGACATGGAAATTGATTTTTTTTACCTTGTTTCAAACAACATTTTTTTAACAATATGCATCTTTTATATTTAAAATTATTCATTTTAACATTAATTGTTACCAAATAATTTATTTTCTAATAAATTAGTATTATTTTATACACATCTTGTATTAGAAAATATATTTCTAATATAAACGGATAACTTACAAATAGATTTTAACGAAACCTGAAAATCATAATATTCAAAAACTATGTCCAATATAGGATATACAAAAAGTAAAATTCAATATTCCTAACAACTAAAAAAACATAACAATAGATATATGTCTAATATAGAATGCACAAAGTGTCAACTTCAATATTCGTAAAAACTAAAATACCATAACTTAAAATAGATTAATCATGATATTGAACCATCAACAATCATTGCCATGTAACAAATCTTTTCTTCTTCCGGGTTAGAATCCGTTGTCGGCACCACCATACTTTTTGGATGCATGTAACTCCAACAATGTTTCAATCAACTTTGCATCCTCTTCAGTAGTCCATGTGTGTTTGCTTCGCCCTGCCATGCCTATAAAAATTTTTACATAATAGATGCTTGAAATAGTAATTCAACAATCCTAACAACCCATACTTAAAGCTGCATAACTCAATAGTAACTAAACCAAATAAACTATTTTTGAGAACTACAATCTGGAAAAAAAAATTGCCTCATGCCGATCTTGTATGAAAATTTTATGGTGGTTCAAAGTTGGATGAAAAGTTTACAAAATACTGAAATAGTTTTTAACAATCTTAACAACCCATATTTAGGGTTGTATAACTCAGCCAAATATTAATCAATTAAGTTTTTTTTAGCCTAACATGCAGCCAAGATAGACGGGTACAACCCGGGACAAAAATCAGCTCATACCAATCACATATGAAGATTTTATGGTGCTTCAAATTTCGACAAAAATGTTTACAAAATGCTGAATAGATTACAACAATCGTAACAACCCCTATTTAGGGTTGTATTACTCCGCCAAATCTTAATCAATTAAGCTGTTTTTTGAGCCTAACATGTAGCCAAGATAGAGTACTACAATCTGGGAAACAAATCTACCCGTTATGAGGTCGTATGAGGATTCTATGGATTTTCAAAGTTGGGCAAAAATTCTAAAAAAAACTGAAACAGTAAAAACTGCAGTAACAACCTTGTTTAGTGCTGTACAACACATGCAATTCTTAATAAATTAAGTTGTGTTTTGAGTCTAACATGTAGCCAAGACAGAAGACTACAACCTAGGGAAAAAAATTAGCTCGTTCCGAGATCATATGAGGAATTTATGACTGTTCAAAGTGTGGCCAAAATTTTACAAAATGCAGAAAAAAAAAACGAACTGCTCTAACAGCCAATGTATAAAGCTGTGTAGGTGAATTTTTAACCAATTAAGCTGTTTTTAATCCAAAAATGAAGCGAAGACAGAGGACAACAATCTGGTAAAAAAATCAATTCGATCCGAGGTCGTATGAGGAATTTATGCTTGTTCAAATTTAGGCTAAAATTTTGCAAAATAATAAAGCAAAAACCAAATCCAAATTTGCTTCACAATACTAATACTCAAATTCCAAACAACTAAATAGGAGACGTTCCCTACAATATGATCAAAATTCAATCCACATCACTTTGTTGCAATTTGAGGTTGAGATTACAATTCTCATTTTATATAAATCAACCAATAATCAACGTAATAAATTGACCAAGAATCATAAACCGTTTAAAATCAAAATCAAAATCAAGTAATTACCTGTAATTGGAATTAGCTTTACAAAATCGACACAGAGAAATTGGGGATAAAGTGATCGACTTCAAAGTCATTGATATTTGTTGATGTGTGAAGAAATTGATTTGTTGATGCTGTCGATGTGAAGAAATCGATTTCTGAGGAGACCGTGGACAAAAAATTGGTAGCACACCCTGAGGTTCAAAGTCAAGACGTGATTGCAATTGTCCACTTTTTTTTCTTGTTAAACTTTCTCTCCATTTCCTTATAAAAAAGGAGAATTAAGATAAAAATGGAATCAATTTATTTCCTTTTCTCTTCTAACAAGAGAAATGAAATACATTCCATTTATCTGCTGTAAATTCGCTGTACCAAACACCCCCTTTATTCTCTTTGCTTCCCGTTTCTTCTATCGTCATCTCCGGCACTGCCACCCGACCCCACCATCACCTCATTTACACACAAAAACCCGAACCATTCATTCGTTTTGCACATACAACATTGAACCCAACACCCTCCATCTTATCTATCTTATCTGAACCAAGAATGCATACCACCATTTCAGACCTAAAACATGATCATTCAACTCACTTTTCAGGCAACCAAGTTTATTAAAATAAAACAAAATTCATACCAACATAACTAATACAAAGCCACCATAGATTCTAGTGGGAAATCTAAAAGAAATAGTTGTATAGAGTAACTGCATATTCAATTTCAACAATAACTTGTTACTCGATTTCTAGGTCTTAGGCAAGGATCAACATCTAAAGAGACAACATTTCAACAAAATGAAACATACACAAACCAATAAAGAAAAAACTGTTGGTGAATTAGATGTGGCTAATTGCTTTAGCTATGAGGAATTAGGGCTCCAAAGCTTTCTTACTTGTTGTTTAAACTAGTGATGATTCAAGGGTTCAGTGGGTTTTCTCATGAACCTGTTTCTTGTTGCCATCACACACCATAATCACATTAAATCTTTCTTTGTCCCACTATGCGACTTGAAATCAATATGGATTAAAGGGTCACTGATGATTCTAGACATGTGTTATACAGTTCCTAACTCTATTGTGAGGAATTAGGGTTGGAGAGGTGTTCGGATGCCCATTCAGATTGGAACGAAGAGTGAGACGATGGGTTCAAGAGCCTAGGGTACTCGGTGGGGGAAGTGGGAATAGAGAAAAATGGTGACTTTAGAAGGGAATAATATGAGGAAGAGAAAGGACGATGCTAGAAGGGAAGATGGAGGACGTTGGTTATGGCAATCTGAAAACCAGGGTAGGGTAGGGTTTTATTGGTAGGGTGTAGGAGGCATAGGTGGAGGTGGGGGTTTTAACTGTTATTTATTTATTTATTTATTTATTTTACTTAAATTTAGTTTTATAAAATATAAAAAAAATTAAAAAGGGTAGAAAAAATCTTTTTATATGGGTCAAAGACCATCCAGTAAAAAGTAACGAATGAAGCATGCGAATTTAGGAAATCACATGGATCATTTATGTAATTCTGTGTTGTTTAAGCAATATATGGTGTCGGTGATAACACTAAGGATATTACTAGAGATGTTCATCTCAATTGGCAAAAATGTTGTTAGTCTCAATTGGCAAAAATGGTGTACCTACCTAAAAACGGAATTATCAACTCCATGCAACTCTAGCTTCTCCTAGCCATTTATCAATAATTTATTATTATTATTATTATTATTATTATCAAAAAGTGTACTGTTTACGCGAAAAGGATAATACTATTGATCTCAGCAAATCGTATGTTTAATTTCAGGTCAACTTCTAGGATTTGTTAACTACATTCCACCATATGCTACCGTAACTAACCAAGAGATCAGCACAGGTGTAAACTATGGTAGTGGCACTGCTGGTATTAGAGATGAAACCGGAAGTCAACTGGTAAGAAATAGTGGTTTTACTTTTTGTCTCTATTAAAAACCAATGTAAACAATGAAGTTTGTGTGACATAGCTAGAAGGCCTAAAAACACAAGTTCTATTTTGTCTTTTAGATTTAAAGTGAATTTTATTTATTTCATCGTTTTGCGGGATGACAGGGTGACCGTGTCAGCTTGGATAAGCAACTACTGAATCACGCAAAAATAATCTCTCGCCTTTCGCTCTTTCAACACAACGTGACATTTACGCAAGAATACCTGAAAAAATGCGTTTACATATCAGTCATTGGAAACAATGATTACATTAACAACTACTTGATGCCTAACAACTACCCCACCAGCCGCATATATACAATCGATCAATATGCAGCAGTCCTCGTGAAACAATACTCTAAACAACTAACTGTAAGCATTTTGATCATATTCCTTTGTTGTATTGTATGTCTGAAATGTTGTAATGTTTTTTACATTATTTTTCTTTTATTCTTGTTATCTTTTATTTTTGATACTTGTTATAGTTATATTCTTAGTAAACTGATAAACCCCGAAATATACATTTGATTTCATATGATAGACTCTATACAAATTGGGAGCTAGGAAGATTGCGGTGTTTAGTTTGGGTCTGATAGGATGCACCCCATCTGAGATAGCACAGTTTGGCACTGATGGAAGACCATGTGTGGATTCGATCAATGATGCGGTTAGCCGATTAAATAATAGGCTTAAGCCTCTTGTTGATGATCTCAACAATGATTTCTCAGATGCAAGATTCACTTTCATCAACCTTACAAGCATTTCAACACCACCAGAAGGTAAGGCAGGCATTAGTACAAAACTTTCTAGTTTATGGTGTATTATATTTATTTAAACCTCATATGATTTGGGTTTCCATGAGTTTCAAGGAGAAATTGTCTATTCCTAATCGTACACACACATTAAATTAAGTTTATCAATGGTTATAATTAATAAAATGTTTGGAATTTGCAGGTGTAACATTACCAACCGAGCCCTGTTGTCAATTACGGGCAGATGGACAATGTGTTCCAAACTCAATCCCTTGCCCGACTCGCAATTTATCTATTTTCTATGATGGTTTTCATACCACAGAAATTGCGAACACAGCTTTTGCAACAAGATCCTACACTGCGCTTTCTCCCATGGATGCGTCTCCATACGATATTAGTCATCTAGCTCAACTATAACATCGAACAAAATTGCATGACAGAAATTATTCTGTAATTCCGTGTATGCATAAAATGTAATAAATAATAATGATGATAATAAATACTATTATGTGACTTTGTTTTTACGGAAACCTGTTGGGATGTGATATAAAGGAAGTCGATGTGATATAAACAAATTCGATCCCATGTGTAATCAGAAAAGTGACACGACCAAACAAACCAATGAAAAGCTAGGATCGACAACTTCAATAATGATAAACTAGTATATCAAGCATAAACAGATTAAACCCCAAAGGTTGTACGTGACTCCACTAGAATATATGTGATAGTGTACGTCCATATGAATGGATGAGGAGACTGCATTTCACTAAAAGAAATTTGAAAGTATTCAAGTTATCTCATAACTAAACTGAATTGAATGACATGACGTCTATATGGACAAAGATGACCATTCAATTCCTCAACATGAGTATTCATCAATTCTCGAAGATGACCATTTATCACTACAAAAAAGCCATCCATTTTGTTGGAATATCCGAATATGATCGACACATGATGAAATTGTTCGAACTTTGTTCAAGCATTAAGCGGTTATCTCACATAGGAAAGAAAGGAAACTTTTATAAGCCTTATAATCTTGTCTAACTACTTTATCAAAATAGATCCAATTGGAGACAAACACAATTGGGCTTGTTTTTTGGTGGTGGTCAGACAAATTAGGCTTTAACTTGGTTTAAATAATTAATATTAATGGTCAATATCGGGTGCTCTTCTTGTCTACTAAAAATATTTTTTTAATTCTATATATATATATATATATATATATATATATATATATATATATATATATATATATATATATATATTAAATCCAAAGGAGCTTAACAATAGTACTTTTTTTTACCTTTAGGTTTTGCCACAAGAATTTAGTGAGTTCGACACTTTTAGTCCCTAAAGTCAAAACTTTTACATTTTTATGTTTTGATTAAGTTTTTGTGTCTTTAGGTTTTTGCCACAAATCTTTAGTGACTTTGATATTTTTAGTCCTTGCAGTGAAAAGTTTTACATTTGGTGTTTTTGCCACAAATCTTCAATGAATTTGACACTTTTCGTCCTTATAGTCAAAACTTTTACATTTTGACATATATATATATATATATATATATATATATATATATATATATATATATATATATATATATATATATATTAAATCCAAGGGAGCTTAGCAATTGTACTTTTTTTACCTTTAGGTTTTTGCCACAAGAATTTAGTGAGTTTGACACTTTTAGTCCCTAAAGTCAAAACTTTTACATTTTTATGTTTTGATTAAGTTTTTGTGTCTTTAGGTTTTTGCCACACATCTTTAGTGACTTTGACATTTTTAGTCCTTGCAGTGAAAAGATTTACATTTGGTGTTTTTACCACAAATCTTCAATGAATTTGACACTTTTCGTCCTTGTAGTAAAAACTTTTACATTTTGACGTAAAAAACATAAAAACCCTCCTTTAGAATTTTGCCACAATATTTTCCCAACTTTGACAACTTTAACATTATTCTCACAACATTTTTGGATTTTATCCACCAGTCTCCCTTTTTTTGGTTGTAGAAAATTTAGGGGGGTGTCAACTTACTCCCCTATTTGTGGTGATTTACTATTTCAACACATATCTTTTAAAATTTGCCGATTTTTTTCCATATTACCCCAAAAGCGGCGTAGCCGCGGCTTCTTTATGAGTTACGAAATTAAATTTATAATAATTAATTCAGATTAACCAATTGATAGGTATTTTGTGTCAGTTAATTAATTTGGTTATTAACAGTTCCAAACAGTTAGCAACGGGAACCTATAAACACCACTTTTAACAAATTTTGTGGTCAGAGAGGAAAACATATACATCACAAACTCTTGAACTTTTTGTTTTTCCACAATTATAAAGGGAGCATAGAGAGATTTGCCTGATTCAAGATCAATTCTTCTTAAGTAGATTGTTGTATTCTTTAGACAGTTTCATACCACATAAATTTGTATCTTAGTATCCTTGACATGCCTCAATCGACATAATGAAAAAGTGAAAAGAAATCAAACAAGAAAATGAAATATCCATATCATGTGGTTCATGATTTATGTGAAACCGATACAAAATAAAAAAAAATCGAAAAAAATACTATTTGTAGGTCCGGGTCTGGTTGTATTAACAAAAAAATAACAATAGAAAAAATTAAAAAATTAAAAATAAAAATAAAGTTCATACAATTGTACCAGATAGGGATATCGTCTTGTGAAAAAAGTGTTTACGACGGGGGTGGTGGAAGGGTTGACGATGGATGATGACGACAACGGAAGGGCGGGGTTGATGATAGCTGATGGTCGGTGGCAGAAGGGTGAGTGTCGTGATGGTTTGTTTTCGTCTTCTGGTTTTGAGAGAATGAGAGTTGAATGTTGAGTGTCTAGCGTCTCTCTAAAAATCAACAACAAACCCTAGTTGGGTGAAAGTTTCAATCTGGGGCAATTAAGAGCAGGAATATGAAAATTGGACCTTTTAATCGGGAGAATTAACAACGGGAAGATGAAAATTAGAAATGTTAATCATGAATGATATAATGACACAAAAACAACAATAAGTGCCGCTAAAAATATAATACAGTAGCACAAAAAAAATATGTCACTAAAAGATTATGCTACTAAATATAATTTTATTTGTAGGAAATCAAGCAAAAAATGAGTTATTCACTTTCGATCCATAAGCATATGGCTGAAACAAGCTAATAATATATGTTAACTACCTAATAAAAAAAAATTAAAAAAAAATCAGATTTAAGGAAAATCCCCAAACTTAGTTTGAAACAACATGAAGAAAGAATAATTAGTTATACCACAATGGAATGATTTTAGCTCCTTATCTTCATCATAATTTAAAATACATCTTTAATTCACCTCTTAGTTAAAAATTTTTACATAAACTCTCTCCCAAGCTTAGAAAACCATGAATAAGAGGGGAAATATGGAATATTTCTGGCTTTTATTTCTAATCTTTCTTGTAATGAACCTTTGGTCGCTTAACTTTCAAGTTCCACACTAAAGCTATATAACCTCTAAAATGTAACTACTTTTATTATTGGAAAAATAACCTAAAAGGGTAAAATAGCGTTTAGCCCTTCACTACTAGAAAAGAGTGTCACACCCCCAAACCGGAACGACGGAAACGTTCGGGGGCGGAGGACGTCATGTTAAGTATCATAACACATGCATCACAGTAATCAAAGTAACAACAACCATTGTATTAATAATATAAAGTTTACATTATGTTCAAAACATTTCATGATTTACTTTATAACAAAAGATAAGACGTAACGCTCCGTCTTCGCAACACCTGAGAGAGAGTACATGTCTACTAACGATCCTGAGAATACAAGTGGTTTGGAAAAGTGTCAACATTAAAGTTGGTGAGTTCATAAGTATTTTTGTTATAAAAAAATATACTCTTAGTTCTTTGGAAAAGTTTGTCTATTCCTCCAAAAAATCCTATATTTTCTTAATGAGTAATATGACCGTACTCGTTACTTTTGCGATTACTTAGTGAATACAAATTATATATAATTCAGATCGAATAGACATTTGAATGTGTGGATCTGCCCTAAGCCCACAACCAAACAAGGAACAGGAAATAAGGCGGAAGTCACACATTCCACTGTCTGTCGGATCTTCATTACATATAACTCTAGTTTATTCACCAAGTAAACACCGAATTAACATTAATGATTCTTTAGATATAATGAATGCGTTTCCTTCAGAAAATCCAATATTTTCTTGGTAAAATGGTAACCATAATAGTCCCTTCTATAATTACTTAGTTTATACTAACTATATATAACCTAATATCGAATAGACAGTTGAATGTGTGAATCTGCCCTAAGCCCACAACCAAACAAGGAACAGGAAGTAAGGCGGAAATCACACATTCCACTGCCTATCGAATATTATTTATATATTACTCTGATGTATAAACTAAGGAATTATAGAATTAACTATTAAAGGTCCTTTATGTTATACTAGTTTATAAATAAGTATTGAACCTTTTGTATATATGTTCTTAGTTCCACTTACTTTATTGTAAAACATTGTTTTCAGTAATAATTGTTATTGTTTTCAGAAAATTAAATCGAAAGTTGTTTACCTTTAAAATAACAATGTTTATCATAGAAAATCCTATATTTTCTATAAAACTGATTTGTAGTTTTAATTGTTCTAAGACCGAAAAGCACAAGTATAATTACCATACTTACTTTAATGATACATAGTTTTATTTATGAGAAAAACTAGCTGAAGATGTGTTTGCCTTAAAAACTTGATGTGAGGATACTACCCTCCTATGATCACTTAATACATACGAGTTGTATATTACCGAGATCGAACAGACAGTTGAATGTGTGGATCTGCCCTAAGCCCACAACCAAACAAGGAACAGGAAGTAAGGCAGAAATCACACATTCCACTGTCTACCGGACTTCAATTTTATCTAACCCTATTGTATATACTGAGTAATCATATAGTTAATATCCCTTGAGACTGTTTAGAAAAAGTATATTACTACGTAAATATATCGTTGTTTTCTTCTTGTGAGTTCTTATAACCATACTAATATGACGGATAACCTGATATGACATGAATCATTTGTCAATATCAAAAATGACGTTTGTCACCCGCAAACCTGCCGGTCAACTGTAGCTAACAGTTAGGGTGCGGGATTGTCAATCCCGTATAGATCTATACACAAACTCACGCTCTCCCTTCAGGAGACTCTGGTTCTTAAGGCTAGACTTCCTTTGGTACTTAGGTAAGTACACGAAGACGTGTCTCACAAATAGCTTCAACGAATTTACAAGTAATACTACGATAACCTTTTTATAAATAACAAGTAATTTGTAAAAAGATCCATTTGTTCCATAAACTACACTTATTATAGTTTATAAGTTTATTTCCATGTTTAAACCTGGACTTTATAAAATAGTTCAT